AACGTAGTTAAACATCAAGCCACGATAATGCTTTGGGGTAGACAGTAGATGGATATTATTAGAACATGTGCCTGATAACTTATCAGATGAAGATGACAGTGGAAACGGTGTGAGTTTCAAAGGCAAGCGTCTGGTTGAAATCACGATAAATACTTATAATACTGGATGTAGAGTAAATGTATACTGAGTTTTAAAACTTATCAGTTAGTCTTAAATTTTAACACGGGGTATTCACTCAAAAATTGAAGAGCGATTCACGGTGAACTACTGCCTACCAAGTCATCCAATCATTTCAACAGGAAAAATGTCAGGAATGCAAACAAAGGAAAGTGAAACTGCAGGTAGTATATGTCCAAAATAAAACCTACCTTTTTCGAATTTTGTGATCATTAATATACATATTAATCAATCACAATAAAATAAGAAATAAATCAAAGAAGAAGAAGACATCATCCAGCAAAACTCTATCAACATTGATTATTCCCTTGAAATAAGCGTGAAACACAGGGCTTCAGTAATGCATCTCCATTTCAACCACTTCTCTGGAATCCTCTTCACCAGACTCAACGACTGTCCACGGTCTCGCACATCTGCTCCACACACAATGTGTTACATCTCATCCTCGATCACAAAACTCATCCTTTCCTATTCACAATCCACTCGAGGATATGTCTTGCTCATCGTGTCACGCAAAAGTCTCCTCAGTATAGATCGGATCTATCAACACTTTCTTCCACACATTTGTCTAGCAATAGCTTCTTAGTTGCTTCATTTACACAGTTCCGTCTGTTTAGTCCATTTCATCATCTCATCTTCAGCATCGATCAGCTGTTGATGGACGTTTGAAGTATGTCCAAAATGCTTTCTGTGACGCACCAGTTCTCTGAACTATGTAAAACAACTGATTTGACATTAGTGTGGAAAATCTTGATCTTCTTCTTTATGCATAATCCAGTAGACTTTCACATTGATTTCAGGGGAGAATAGCTCTGTCTCGCCTTTCCGATCCTGCCTTTGACATCTTCATCTGTGCCACCTGTTGTGGAAATCACGCTGTCTAGATAAGTCAAAGAGGTGACTTCCTTTACATTTCTCCCGTTGATAGTGACTGCTGCGCGTTGTTGGTGTCGTTTCTGCTGGTTGGGTATCTTCATCACCTCCGTCTTCTTCATGTTCGTTCACATGAAGTACTGTCTTCGCTGCTTCTTCTCTCGAACCTGTTGGTTGGTTGCCCCCTATACATCTTCGAATTGGTGTGACATTGCACATAAGTAGTTCGAGAAGTTCAAATCTTTTAGAGTCTTCTTCTTCTTCGTTTTCACCCAACAAATTCCTCTCTCTTCGCTTCCCACAACCTGCCAGCCACATGGTCCAGTCTACCACAATCAGCAATATCACAGGTTACAGTAAGCAGTCTTGTCTTACTCATGAATGTCTCCTTTGTGATTACGCAATTCACTTCCTAAGTTATTGTTGTTTCTGTGCATCAAAGTTTCCCAAGCGATTATATTCATTTTCTGGAGTAGTGTTGTTAGTTCCGGGCGCAACATCCGCTGTTTTTCTACGCTTAAGAGAGGCTAGTAAACCAGTGGAGGAATAAAGAAGGCGAGGTTTTGACATTTGTTAATTGAAGAAAGTTAACGGTTATATCTGATTTAGCTGGAACTGAACATGAATGTAAAATATATGTATAAGAATGTACCTATAACGGGAATAACAATGATTCACTTTAAAAGCATGTTAAATAGTGACACTGCATTTAGTTGTCATGCCATCACAACAGTTGAAGTGAAAATGATATGCCAAATACCAAAGGTAATCCATAAAATACACAAAACCATATGACAACGAATGTAAGAATGCTACAGATAAGAGTAAGTACATGAGAACAAAAACTGTTTACATATTCATTCAATATAACGATAATGAGCAAAGATTCGAAAAATTCCGCATCCACTTCAAACGTCTCAATTATCTTATTAGACAGAAAGTTACAATTTCATTGACCTAACACCCACCGCTTCAAACCAAACCTCTACTTGCTCATGTAGTAATTTAGAAAAACATTGCATCACCTTTCACCGACAAGTTTCACAGCTGAATTACAGAGTGAGGCGCAGTGACAAGTTTGTCTTCTGATAGGACGAAAAATAATTTATACAGTGACATTCGTTATGAACTGAACTTTCGAAGTAAAACTTAAGACGAGAGTCAAGGTATTCAACCGACCACACTTCATAGAGCACACACAATAGTAGAGAAGAAGAATCAAAAGAAATGAAATGAATAGAAATCTACGAGAAAAGGAATAAGTAAATAGAGAATAATGGAAATTTCATGGAACAATGGGATCACAAAAAATGAATATATCGGCACCATTGAGAAGGATATTCAGCCAATGATTCTTAATACCTCAAAAACCCTAACCGAGTAGTCTACACCTCCCTACGCAACTGAATACATGGAGTAATGCCATGTTTTGCTCTAACCACTCCTGACGACATTCTATCCCAGTCGTATATCATCCAGTACTGCTGAACGAGGAAGGCGATGGCTTGGCATGCGCACACGTGAAATAGTGACATCGTCACATTCTTCAGAAACTTACTGATTGACTTTCCTTCACTCTACGTCTAACCTCAATATTACTAAAGATAGCTCTATCACTATCGAGAATAGGAGACACCAGTCAAATATCGCTAGCCTCTTCATGTCTTCAACTCTCAACCTCCATGTATCACCACTCGTCAAGAAGGAAGGAGTGGAGTGTTCCTGCACTGTACGCACATCATGTCATTCATAGCCAGAAATCCCGTGTACGCTAAATATGGAACATGTAAGTAAATCTAAGATAAGCCTTTTGCATTCCAGTTGAGATGTAGTCAGAAATAAGTCTACTCAGGATGATACAACCTTCTAAATAAATGTAGCGGCGAAAAACCCAACCATTTCATGAATTGTCCGTATATTAGGAGTCGGCACGGACCAGATGGAATCCCAGCAGAAGCATTGAAAATGGACCCAGAGATATCAGCGGACCTGATGACACCACTACTGGAGAAGATGTGGAAAGAAGGTAAGGTACCTGCGATTGGAAGAAAGGCTAATAATTCAAACTGCCAAAGTAAGGAGAGTTAAGTCAATGCAAGAACTGGCGCGGAATTATGCTCCTGTCCATCTCAAGCAAAATACTAAGCCGCATCATCCTGGAGAGAATCAAACATGCCCTGGATGAAAAACTTCGACAGGAACAGGCTGAATTCGGGGTGAACAAATCATGCATCGATCAAATCGCAACACCAGGTATTAACATCGAACAAAGCTTGGAATGGCTGTTAGTCAGCTCTCTATCTCAACTTCAGTGACTTTGAAAAGGTCTTCGACAGCGTCGATCGAGAGGTGATTTGGTAACTACTTCGCTACTACGGGATGCCGCCAACAATTATACATCTCATCCGATAGTTGTACGATAATGCTGCATGCCAGGTAATCCACAAAGGGAAACTCACGGAATCCTTAAAAATGAAGAAGGGAGTAAGACAAGGTTGGCTGGCTGCTTACTATCTCCAATGATTTTCCTGATTGCGGTAGATTGGATAATGCGACAGACAGTGAGGAGACAGGCATAAAATGGACCCACACAAAAAACGTGGAGGATCTGGATTTCAACGATGATATTTGTTTGATCTCCCACAAACTGGAAGATGTACAAGTGAAAAGCAACGAGTCGGCAGAAGAAGCATCCAGAGAAGATAGGCCTTCAGGTGAACATAGATTAAAGAGAGGTGATGAAGATTCCTGGGCAACAGCAACAGACAACAATCAGCATCAATGAGATAAATTTGAAAGAAGCAACGTCCTTTACCTATCTGGGAAGCATCGTTTCAACCACAGGTGGAGCTGACGAGGATATCAGGGCGAGGATCGAGAAAGCAAGGTAAGCTTTCATTTCTCTCAAGTCTGTGTGGAGGTCAACAGCACTCAGTATCAAAAATAAGATCCGGATTTACAACTCCAATGTGAAGTCAGTGCTACTTACTATGCAGATCAGAGACTTGGCGCGTCATGAAGAGCACCTCAAACAAACTGCAGACCTTCATCAACAGCTGTCTTCGATCAATAAAGATCATATGACCAGAAAGATCATTAATTGGGATCTCTGGGAGCGAACCAACCCAGCAGAAACCGATTGTGTGACAAATAGGCAGGAAGAAATGGAGATGGATTGGCCATACTCTGAGGAAACCATCAAGTGACATTACATGCCAGGCTATTGCTCGAGTGGAACCCGAAAGGGAAGAGACGAGTTGGTCGTCCAAGGGTGACTTGGAGGAGGTCATGTGAAGAGAGATGAAAGCATGTGGGCAGACGTGGAGCTAGGTGAAAGCGTTGGCAGAGAGCCGAACGCAATGGAGACGTGAGGCTGAAGCCCTATGTTCCTCTGGGAACTAAAAGAAATAATAATAATAATAATAGGAGTCTTCACACACCAGTTCTGTAGCAACACAGGGGCGAATCGTATACCAAACAAGGTGTTTAGAGGACTCTGCATCTTGTCAGTATTTCCACTTACTCTAAATAGACGAGACTGCACTGGTAAAAAATAAGTTCACAAACGTTTTGTTAAATCTTTTCTTTGCCTTAGTCATAGTAATGTTATCATTTTTAGTTATCTTTGCCTCCATTTTTGTTATCATCATCGCGATTTCAATTTTTTGACACGACTTGACAAACTTTAAGCCTTTGAATACCGAATCATATGTTTAGAAATCTTTTACTGTTTTTTAATTCATCTACATTGACACTAGCGCCTTGAAAATCATATTGGTTATATGTAAAGTTATAATATTCAGTGAGACGAAAGAAATGCAGAGACTTCCGGAACTTCACAGCTAGGATATATATATATATATATACATAACATGAATAAATAAGAAGTACAGTAAAGGAGGAACAAGGGGGGAGATGAAGAAATATCTTAGAGAAATTAATTTACCTACCAGAGTAAAATATCAAGACTTCTTTAATATTAAGGTGAAATATCACCAGTTGTTGAATCTGTTGATCCAACTGAACTTGTATGAAACGGTTGAAGGATAGGTGAAGAAAGATTATTCGGCAATTTATTCATACTCAGATTAATATTATTACTAGTATAGCTATTACTCTGACAATTTGAACTTTCTGCTCTTGTAATAGGTCGAATTGTTGCGATACCAGATTGATAATTATTTGGATAGCCATAGCCAACAGAAAAATCTGTATAATCTTCACTGTTATATTTTGTTGAGCCAAGTGTAAAACTTCGACTCATCTGATGTTCATGATTATTAATTGTCCCTATAGTAGGGGATAATGCAGTTGCCATTACCTCTGTTGATGTTGCTGCCTTGTTGTTACTAAAAACATTACCATTAGAATTGTGAATATTATTACTATTCCTAGTAATAGATGTAGTGGCTCCAGCAAAAGTTGGACGTAAAGAATAAGGTAATAGCGTAGGAATATACGACTGATGAGATAATGATGAAAATTCATTACTACTATTGGTAGATGAATTTTCTATACGTGATTGACGTTTTAACGAATCTTGAACACAAATTGAAGACTTTGAACGAGTGTGTGAAATTTGTTGGTCAGATGATGGGGTTAAATTGATGAATCGTATAGGTGTAGCCATATTTGTTACTGGATTTGATGCCACACTAGGTGAAATAGCTAGGTGTTTAGAAAAATTAGAAGGAAAATACGTACTTATAAAAGCAATAATTAATTAGACCATGAAGAATACTGCCAAAGATCAGCTAATTCCTTTCTGTGACTATTTTCTTATTTGTTGTCATGATAATCAGTCTAAGAACATAGCACAGGTTTCGCACAGAAATCTTTGAATGAATGCATTCCATAAACACCTAATACCTGAACCAAACATTAAAACATTCGATGGAAATGATGTGCTATACTTTTCAACTTCAATAAACTTTTGAACGTGAAAGATTTAGCTGTCTCCTTCAACCGTATTAATTCGTTATTCGTCCCTTGTTTCATACATATTAAGTAATACTATCCTTCCCTCTTTCTTCATTGCAAAAATGGCATTGTGACCGAAGAGGCAAGAGATCTGAGAAATGAAGTAATTCAAAAGATGTAGAAACGATCGAAGCATAAATGCGGTAGGCACAAACGTTTATCTATGCCAGGTACAAACAGTAACTACATCTGACTAAACGATAGACTTACTGATTACATTGGTTTATACTTTAGTGTTGTCACACCAGATTGGTGCATTGGTGGTTACTGAAGAAATTTGTGCGTCGGTAGCCCAGTGGTTAGGACTCTCGCCGACCATGCACATGGTCCGGGTTTCGATCCCCTGTCGACGCACACCTGATATCTATGGTCGGCCTGCAAATTTGGGCTACGATATCATATGCTGGAAATTCCATACTTGTATCAAAAATACTGTGTGGTTTCAAGCTATAAGAAAAAAATATATATTAAAAATCACTTAGGTTCATTAGTACATCTTAATTTCATCCGCCTCCCTGTAGTCCTCTTCACCAGACTCAACGACTGTCCATGGCCTCACACATCTGCTCCACACACGATGTGTTACATCTCATCCTCGATCACAAAACTCATCCTTTCCTATTCACAATCCACTCGAGGATATGTCTTGCTCATGGTGTCACGCAAAAGTCTCCTCAGTATAGATCGGATCTATCAACACTTTCTTCCACACATTTGTCTAGCAATAGCTTCTTAGTTGCTTCATTTACACAGTTCCGTCTGTTTAGTCCATTTCATCATCTCATCTTCAGCATCGATCAGCTGTTGATGGACGTTTGAAGTATGTCCAAAATACTTTCTGTGACGCACCAGTTCTCTGAACTATGTAAAACAACTGATTTGACATTAGTGTGGAAAATCTCGATCTTCTTCTTTATGCATAATTCAGTAGACTTTCACATTGATTTCAGGGGAGAATAGCTCTGTCTCGCCTTTCCGATCCTGCCTTTGACATCTTCATCTGTGCCACCTGTTGTGGAAATCACGCTGTCTAGATAAGTCAAAGAGGTGACTTCCTTTACATTTCTCCCGTTGATAGTGACTGCTGCGCGTTGTTGGTGTCGTTTCTGCTGGTTAGGTATCTTCATCACCTCCGTCTTCTTCATGTTCGTTCACATGAAGTACTGTCTTCGCTGCTTCTTCTCTCGAACCTGTTGGTTGGTTGCCCCCTATACATCTTCGAATTGGTGTGACATTGCACATAAGTAGTTCGAGAAGTTCAAATCTTTTAGAGTCTTCTTCTTCTTCGTTTTCACCCAACGAATTCCTCTCTCTTCGCTTCCCACAACCTGCCAGCCACATGGTCCAGTCTACCACAATCAACAATATCACAGGTTACAGTAAGCAGCCTTGTCTTACTCATGTCTCCAATTCGAAGGCGACGCTGAGTTTTCCCTTGTGGATCACCTGACATGTGGCACTGATAATTAGGTCCCCTGCACTAGCTTTCATTAGTTTCATCTGTCTCCATCTCTTTTCGGATAGCGAACTGTTTATCTGATATTGTGCTTCGACGTCCCCTTACCTGCAGCCTGTTGTGTCTGCTTTAGTTTCGAGTGTGTCATAAAAATGTCTTTTGTTTTTCCTAGCACTCTTCTTCACTTATTTGTTCAGTGAGCTATAGATTGAACTCAGCTTCTCTTTTTGTGTCCAACTTTGAACTGGTTCATCTTCCTTTCCACAATCTATCTCTCTTCCTCGCCCCTATTAACTTCCAGATGTCTGTACAGAACCATTCCTTGTCTTGCCTCTATTTCTTCCTAAAATGACTATACAGGTTTCCTTTAATATCGCTCTCAAAGGGTCCCACTGCCCTTTAACACAACTTTCCTCAGTGATGCTACTGAATGTCTACGATCCTGCTCTGACGGTCAAAATGAATGTCTCCTTTGTGATTACGAAGTTTAGTTCCTGAGTGTCGAGCTTCAGTTGTGATCTATCTCCAGCTTTATTGAAGGCTTCAACTTGACTTTGAGAGTTCCTTGCATGAAATTGTGGCTGAGGCCGCTCCTACTTAAGATTTTGTGTCCAGCATGCTGCCTCTCGATGTTTTCGAGGTTGATATGAAGTCTATCTGATTTTGAGGTAGGAGTCAATAGACTTGTCCTTGGAAACTAAAACCTGACGATATCATCCGTTAAATAAAAACAGCACTGAGTGGGATGGTCAAAACAACGGTTGACGAAGTACGGAGACAATGTGCACTAACATTAAAACGACAAAAATGAGGAAAGCCTAACCTAACAAATCCAGAAATGGAAGCTCCAAAACACTTTAAGAATAGCAAGGATATAGTAATCACAAAGTCAGACAAAGAAAATGCAACAGTAATATTAGACAAATCACACTATTTGGACAAGGTGAATACTCACTTACAAACAAGACCATATGAGGAAATTGAGAAATCAATAAACGCCGTTATGAATAAGGTTAAGAAATCCACAGCGGACCTTATACACCGAATGAAGCCGTTCCTAGGTGAGTCTAAATGGTTTAATTTAGTGCCGAAAACTAATAACCCCAGGAGGAGGATGTATGGTGTTGTTAAAGTTCATAAGTCAGAATACCCTAATAGACCTATAGTTCATTTTAGAAATTCACCTACTTATGAATTATCTAAATATTTAGCCATGCTATTAAATCCCCTTAAAAGCCACTCAAAATCTAGGCTAACAAATTCTTATGAACTAAAACATAGATTGAATAATTTAAAATTAGACAGTGAAGAAAAAATGATGGTCAATTTATATACACGTATAGCAGTAAATATGGCTACAGAAGCAGTCAGAAACGAACTCATTTCTGACCAAGAACTTGAACTTAGAACAAAAGTATCACTAGAGGACAACGCTGGGAGTGCAGCTATGCCTGACTTCTACAGTATTTAAATTCCAGGGGAAAATACACAAACAAACTGAGGGAGTTGCCATAGGGTCACCAATATCCCCGATTGTGTCAGATATATTCATGGATAGCTGGGAAAACTCAGCGAATGAAACGTTCAGCCCCACATTAAAAGTATGGTGGAGGTATGCAGAGTTGTCAGTTCACATTCACCTCACCGAGAGGATGTCAATCCACCATGAGCTTACTTCATGTATTGCTTGTTCCCAGTTTCGCATTCATATCACCCATTACGATTTCAAATTTCACATCTGGCTGAGGTATTCTCCATTAAAGTTTGCAGTTCTCTGTGGAAGTCATCCCCTTATTGTTTCGCTTTGCTCATTGGAGCGTTGAATTAGACAATGGTAACTTTCCTACATTTAGAGTTGATTCCTGCTATCATTATCATGGAACAGATTGGTTCTCGTTGCATAACACCTTTGGATGCTCTTGGTGACTTCGTGATATCCACCACCTCGTGATTGTCATTTCGGTGACCGGAGTGGATTACTGACTCTCTAGTTAACATTTTGAAGAGTACTCTGATTGGACACTAATAACTAGTGCGATGTGTCTACTCCTTTCTTTGGTGCAGACTGAATTCTCTCAGTCAGGTTTGCAATGTGGCCACCATTCCAAGTAGCTCGCCATCACGGTTCACACTGATTTGATTATACTAGATGGCTGCCAATAGCCTAGAACTATCTAATGTTTTGAAGAGTTCACTTTCATGTCACCTGCTCTCACAGATTCCCAGTGCTTCTATTCCATATTTTCTCATCTATTTGGCAATCTGAGTATCCTTCCCACCTTCTAACACACAATGTTTCCATGCTTATCTTTGCTTTCATCAAAGGTAGACACATCGGCTGACTGGTTTTCCAACGGCTTTCATCAACCTGCGTTGTTCGGTCTCTCTGATTTCAGCTAAGAATCAATTTATCTTTGATGTTGTTTCTGTGTATTGAAGTTTCTCTGGCGATTGAATTCATTTTCTGGGGGAAAATGTTGTCATTTTCGCGCGCAAGCTGCGCTCTTTTTGGACACAGATGTATGTAGTAAAGTAGGCGAGGTCCTGAGAAGAAACATCAATACTCAAACTAACTTTCTAAATATGCATCGCTACAAATATGTGCTGTCTGTGTGACTCACTCTGTAGGAGCACTGTGAAACTAAACCCTCATAAATGGAGTCCTAGGTTTCGTAGTATCAGGTCACTGTCATTCTCATGGCCTCACTATTGTGTTGTGAAATTACTAAACAACCAAAGCAGAGGTATATGTAAGTGGGATAATGATATTGTGAATTTTTCTGGTTATGCAGCTGGCTGAAACTTGTAAGTTACATTTCTGTTGTCAAGATGTTAAGATCGGCTAGAATGAAAGTGAACTGTCATTCAACAAAGATGTAACTCGAACTGATGAAGTTTATCTTTACTTCATCTATGCTGGAAAATGGAGTTTTTTAGTCGTGAACTACTATACTACCGAAATAGACAACTGATGAGGCAGAAAATCGCTTTGAATTCACTCAAAGGCATATTTTCAAATGACTTATATTTACAACCACATCTGATCGAATCGCTTACTTTTTAATAATTTATTTAATGGGCTTAACAATGTCTGTTTTTACTACTAATTTTAATAATTTTAAAGGAAATATGAAAACTTGCATTGATACAAATTAACACAGGTCCATTTTGTATTATGTACATTTCTCGTAGTGAAAATTTGCCGCAGAATATTCTGGAAGCATCACTGAGAGAAGGGGAGGGGAATGAATACAAACGATAAGCGAAAATTCAAATAGATGGATGCAGAAGAGAGTATTGATTCACAACAGCATACCAACGTTTTCATAATTTAATGCTTACATTGAGATGGACCATATCCATGAAGAGAAATACTGCGTGTTGTTGTCGTTATTGGAGGAGTCGATTGTTGTTGGATTGATGATATTGGCACTTCTGCATTATTAGATTTACGAATTGTTGTATTAGATGATGATAACAACTTTGTTGTTTTGATGGCCAATAATAAATACTCCATCCATTGTTCTTTATCATGAACTGTACGTGCACGTAATAAACAAACACCGACAGCTTTAGCACACTGAGGTAAAGTATAATCATTATTCTCCAAATGCCATGCATGCAGTTTAATCTATGCAGATAGAATCAACGAAATAATAAAGAAAAATAAATTTTTTTAAAAAGCAGATGAATGTCCACAAACATAACATAAACATACTTAAATACATTCACACATACATAAACAGGGTAAAGGAGTAAAGACAGTATTTAAAAATCTTTTCTTAATATAATAACGGAATTAAAGCACCTTTATTCTATTATTGATGAACTAAGATAGTTAACTGAACCGGAAAGACATCAAGGGAATTATAGGTAGTAGGTAGGTAATAAATGTATAAGGTATACATTTCGCCATAGACATATGTATCAGCTTCAAGTAAATATGAGCGGGATGTTGATGAATATAGTCTGTGAAGTGAGAATACTGAATTTTGAACTAGATAAGTTGGATGCTTTTAGTCTAAGTCCTTTCGAAAACGCCACTAAGCAACTAACAAGTTGTACTTATTTCTGAGTAGAATAGCCTACATTAAGAATAAATCAAGTGTAACGACAAACCTGAAGACGCTATAAGACTTACAGAAAACTGCATTGTTCATTGGTCAAAGTAAAACTGATTCGCTTACTACAACGACTAGATTGGTTACCGTAGCGTAGCACCCCAATGAAGGATAAAGGTTATATATTATACGCCAAAAAGTAGGACATTCAGTTAGCAATGTTACGCAACACACTCCACAAGAAACAAACAGGTTGGCTGAAATTAAGAACTGAAGTATTTCATAGATGGTACCAACACACAATATTGTAATCGTTTTTCCTGTAGGAAAATTTCAACTATGCTAGTCTATTTCCTTTAAAATGTGGTCTATTCAGCTTAGTTGATCGACTTTCCAAACACCTTCTAAATCTGATACAGGTATTTCATTCATGTGGTTGTAGTGGTATTTTATAAATCCTTTCAGCGTAGAACGTCGCACAGAAGTATACTTGTTCAAGTTGTCACAGTCCATAAAGCACACAAAGGTAGAGAAGAGAAATTCAAAAGAGCTAAAGTGTACCTTACAAACGAAAATATAAACTCCTGTCTGTTAGCTGATTCGCAGTGATATTCTTTTAAAGCTGTTATACTTTTAAATTGACAGTGGCTGATTCATTTAGTTCAACTTGTAAATCCTGATAAAAATTAGTAAGTTATCATTTGCGAACACTGAGAATGAGTTTTGCGGGGCACAAAGAGTATCTAATAGTGTCCATACAAAGTGAAATGCACATACATCTTTGACTGTAGCCCAGACACTTGAATACAACATATTTGATTTTTGATTGAATCTATCCGGCCTCGGCTTTTTAGACTAGTTGATTCACACATTATAAGTCGATGGCTCTTTCAAGATGAATTCGTATCCATCAATGACACTGACGTCTAGAAGTCTTCCTTACTGAATTACCCCAGAGAGAGGTTAAATTGGAAGTAAGTTAAGGATAGCCAGGTCGTATTATGGTGCCAATCAGTAAATCTAGACTTCAGCGTCATAGAGAATACGCAATTTGTTTGCTTGATGTTTATAAGACCATGAGAACTTATAGTCAGTGATGAGTTGATACGACTAAAAATCAACTGCCGTGGCGAAAGACTCACTAATACCTTTTCTTTATTATAAGTGTACTATCACTTGGAGATATTTGATTTATACTATTTATTATTATTATTGTATCCTTTAATTCCTACAGGAACATAGGGCTTCAGCCGTGCGTCTCCATTGCGTTCGGTTCTCTGCTAGAGTCTTCACCTGGCTCCAAGTCTGCTTACACGTTTTCATCTCCTCTTCACATGACCTCCTCCAAGTCACCCTTGGACGACCAACTCGCCGCTTCCCTTTCGGGTTCCACTCGAGCAATGGCTTGTCTAGTGATGTCACTTGATGGTTTCTTTTCTCAGAGTATGGCGAATCCATCTCCATTTCTTCCTGCCTATTTGTTTGACACTCGATTTCTGCTGGGTTGGTTCGCTCCCAGAGATCCCTGTTGCTGATCTTTTCTGACCATCTGATCTTGAGTAGCATTGAGCGAAGACAACTGTTAATGAAGGTCTGTAGTTTGTTTGAGATGCTCTTTATGACGCGCCAAGCCTCTGATCCGTATAATAGCACTGACTTCACATTGGAGTCAAAAATCCGGATCTTATTTTTGATGCTGAGTGTTGTTGACCTCCGCACAGGCTTGAGAGTAGTGAAAGCTTGTCTTGCTTTCCCGATCCTTGCTTTGATATCCTCATCAGTTCCGCCTGTAGTTGAAACAATGCTTCCCAAGTAGGTAAAGGAGGTAGTTTCTTTCAGGTTCCTTCCATTTATGCTGATTGCTGTCTGTTGTTGTTGCTGTGGCTGTTGGTGTTGCCCAGGTATCTTCATCACCTCCGTTTTCTCTATGTTCACCTGAAGTCCTATCTTCTCTGGATGCTTCTTCTGCCAACTTGTTGCTTTTCGCTTGCATATCTTCCAGTTTGTGGTAGATCAGACAAATATCATCGGCGAAGTCCAGATCCTCCAAGTTTTTTGTGTGTGTCCATTTTATGCCTGTTTCCTCATTGCCCACTGTTTGTCGCATTATCCAGTCTACTGCAATCAAGAAAATCATTGGCGATAGTAGGCAGCCAGCTTGTCTTACGCCTGTCCTCACTTCGAAGGGTTCCGTAAGTTTCCCATTGTGGATTACTTGGCATGCAGCGTTGTCATACAACTGTTGGATGAGATGTATAATTGTCGGCGGCACCCCGTAGTAGCGAAGTAGTTGCCAAATCACCTCTCTGACACAAAGAAGTAGATAAAAGTTGTAAGACATGAAATTATAAAATTATATCAATTGCATATATGCATTTCATATGCATCACTCACCTGACAATCTGTACACTGATAAGCTAAAGGAGGATGAAAAACACTAGAGCATGAATTTTGACACAGATCACAGGTTGCATATGATCTAAAAAGAATACGTTGTAAAACATGCCCTCTAGTATTGATTGTAGTCGATTCTACACTATGTGCTGAATCATTAGACTGAGAATTAACTTGATGTCCAGATGGAGAATTTTCTGCATGATTTGATCGTTTGTTATTAGACAAGTTAGATACAGAATGAGCATGAGAACTAGAAGCGGAATCAGTTCTTATAATACGACGTGAATTTGACGGATGTTGACTAGAAGTTGACAATAATCCACTTGATCCAACACTGGACTTACGTGGTATAATTCCAGAATCACCTAGAAATGTAGAAAATGTAGAAATTAGGATTACTAACATGAAAATGAATAGTTTTATCCTAATCAACTTTAGACATAAATTCTTTGTAAACTGTTTTTCTTACGGATATATACATACATATATTATATATAGTTGTCTAGGAAAGAGAATCATAGAAACCACATATTAAAATACATAAAATTCACCAGAAAGAGGGTGGAAAATGATTATGGATATTGAGAATTTCTAGGAAACAAATTAAAGATTTCTACTATGCAGCTGAATACGAAGAAACCGACACTATCTGACAGTAAAACACAGGTAAACGGAGAAAGTTTTTTTTTCAACTTTTATCCAAGCAGCATTCAAACTTAAAACGATATTACAAAAGAAAAAAAACAAGGATGAAAGAATATGAAACTTTAAGAGAATAGTGAAGATGAAATTTTTTGGAATCTTCAACATTCGTATAGAGATATAATTGACAACAGTGGAGAATTAAGAGATAGGATGAAATGTGCGCGAAGATGGAGTGAATATAGATTTGTATGGCTATAACAATTTAAGATTAACACAGCATGTGTATTGCAATTACTGATTTTTTAAACATGAAATCTTGTTCCCTAACGAGTTGAAACTTATCAAATCAGAGAGAGAGAGAAAGTATATTTTATCAGATAATTCTACGCATCAGTGCTATTTTCCAAATCTTTCTTAAAGTAGCCAGTCAGTCAAGAGGCAGAGAGGGACAGAATTAGAAATCCTTGAGGAAAAAGAAAGTGGTAAAAGTAGTTCCGTAAAAAAAAGAGACATCCACTACATAATCATAAACAAACACGCACAAAATACATAGAATATGACAGGGTGCAGTGTGTTTGTGGTAGAGGGAATATCACAAGACAAGATAAACTCAATAGAAAATTACTATCAATTTTTTTTTCATAAACTGTAAAGAAATTAAATATTTACAAATATTTATCGACTATAATACTGTGATGCCGCATAAATTTATTACTAAAATATTAGTCGAAATCAGTGGTAGACGAATGCAGATGAGTGAATTCACAATAATAGTAATAATAATAATAATAATAATAAAAACACTAAGAAACGTGAGATGAAGCCACAAAAATGCATAGTTAAAGTAAGACACGCAATATTTACAATGCATAAATACAAAAAACAGTTGCAAATATATAATGAAAAGTATGAAAACAATATGAAAATTTTCACTTAATTTATCTATGGAATTCTGCATTTTCAGTATGCATATTTTTTTCAAGTGTGTATGGAGAATAAAATACAACAAACAGAGACTCCTAGTTTACAGTGAATGTGTTCATCGATTCACTTATTTGGGAAGTTACTTCGGCCTTAATTGATTGATTGCAGGTCAAAAATCAGCACAAGTACAAAAGGCATTTTTGCTATTAGCCAACCTACACCCACTTTGGCACAGGCGTAATTTCTGCCTATACATCAAAAGACCTAAGTTGCGTGCAGCAGTTTGTCCAGGTTTACTTTACGACTGTGAGACATGGCTTCTGTAAATAGAACCCTTGAAAACGCTGGTCATCTTTGACTACAGCTGTCTGCGTTCTACCTCTTGTTAAGCGTGATGCGAATACATCATTATTAACAGAAGTGGGCGTAGACTGTTAGGTGAGGAGGGAAATCAATCGATCAGGATGTGAAGCTGTATCAAACAAGATTGCCAGGAGATGCTTTGCGCATATCAAGCTTTTAACTTCCATCGTGTTAACTGACATAGGATTGCGTTGGGATAAAGATAGCGGTGGTATAAATCCACGAAGATTTGGATCGTTAGCTTGAGTAACGTAGGAAAGTGTGGGTTGAATAACTCGGATTCTCGGATCTCTAAGAATCAACAGTTGGAAACGGGTCCAACACATTCTCCGTGAATGAAATGCATTCGTTCTCTACAGTCTCCAACATTCACTAAGTCCTCATTATATTTTACGTAATTTTTCTTCAAATCAGATATATCTACTTACGTTCTATACGGATCCTTTTAAGAGCTATGGCTGTAACAGCAGAACACGGTAATATTTGGTAGCAGAATTGTTATTTGGCAAAACAACATACTATCATGGAAAATTAAGGCGACCTTACACAGGAAATCTCCATGTTTTCTGTTGTTTTTTTTTTCACAAGGATCTTTCATTCTCCTCTTTGTCATTTAATCTGTCGCTCAATTTTCTCTTGCAGGAGAGGTCACACACAGTATACTATTTACAAAATCCCTGTCAGTAGTACACATCACATACCGACTTTAACCGTTGCACTTTTGTGCACAGTTCTACGATGAAAAATCTGTTCATCCTAATTCAACCTATTATTCATTAGGTCATATTCTTCTTGGACTGTTCAGTAAAGTTCACAGAATTTGACTTATTCAATAAACGTTAGGTAACTAAAACTAATCAATCGAACACAATCTACATATGTTAAAGATTATAATTATTAGGACGGTCAATTATTAATCAAGTGTCGATTTACAGGGATTTGATTGGTTACAAGATTGGTTACGAACTGACATCAGTTAGAGAAACAATGAAAGACCTGGGATTACCTGATAACTGTTTCTTTATAAGTTGGGACTCTTCAGCCCAGTACTCCCAGATTAATTATTAGGCATACATATAACACTATGAGACTTTATCAAAACAAAATCTACCCATAATGGAATCACACTCTACCACAGTGCACAAGTTTTATTCTTATATCAATGATACATATGTATATATATATTTCGAAGCTAAAGAAAAGACAAGGTAATAAAAGGTGCATGCTGGATCGCAAATGAAAGTAATTTGTCATAGATTTCCATTGTTCGCCTAATGGAAAATAACAGTCTACACGTTAAATTTATATTGACAGCGGGAATGATTTTTGTAACTTTAAAACTAGTTTAACTGATGAGTGAGAAAAGTTTACAAATTACTTCACCTATATGCATTTGTCTTTTTCTGCTTGAATTCATGTATAATCCCTATCCAGGCATTAATGAAAACAAAACACGTAGATCAGCGAAGAGTCTCTTTTCGGCTAATTCATTTTCTTAGCTATACAATCGCATATATATGTGTGTTATTTGTATGTATGTGTACATTAAGTTTGTTAAACAAGATACAACTGGTTATAGTTATTTAAACTAAACAAGTGAAGATTGGTAATTGGAGTTACGTAATACAAAATTAGTCAAGAAAATTAGGTGTTAGTGAAATTAGGGTAGTAACAAAGGTGATGAGTTGTCACAAACAAAGAAGTTATGTAATAATATGAATAGTTTGATGAGTGAGTTGTACTCAGGATGCACATAGAGACAAAGTAGATAATACGAAATTACGTAAGAGTTCTAAATGAATACAAGAATTATAAGCAATTAAAGAACAGGCAAAGAAACAAAATTAAGTCATCAAAATCAAAAACCAATCTTCACCTGTTTAGTTTAAATAACTATAACCAATTGTATTTTTGTTTAATAAACTTATTGTACACATACATACAAAATAACACATATATATTTGCGATTGTACAGCTAAGAAAATGAATTCGCCGGAAAGAGACTCTTCGCTGATCTACGTGTTTTGTTTTCATTTTTCTGTTTGTTTACATAAAAATGAAATTGTCAATAGTAAAAGATGTGAAATAGTAGGATACACGAACAAAATTGTGTTGGTGGTTTAGTGGTGGAATGCTCGCCAACTGTGCAGTTGACCCGGGTTCGATTACCAGCTGACAGTTGTAAGCAGGGATAGAAACAGAGAAGGTTGGAGTGGAGGCTGACAACTCCAACTCGTGACATATATATATATATATATATATATATATGTATATATGTATATACAAGAAACAACCATTTCACATAAGGCAAAAGTTTCAATTCCACTAAGAACAAAAACAATAATAAATACCTTATTTTTTTAAGTGCAGAAAAAAAGTTTAAAAATAAACTAACCTGAATTTGAATTAGAAATTCCACCACCACCCACTCCACTAACACCACTTGAAGATTGTTTCATACCGCTGGGGATACTGTTGTATACAACACTGGTGTTATTGTTACCATTAGCATTAATGCCATTGCTATTATTGTTTAAACATTGGCGATCATAGATAATTTGGAAAACACGAGGTAAATCTTCTGGACGCTCATGACATACATCACATGAATTCACAGAACGTGCATGATATAATGCATTTACTGGCATTTCGAATCGGGGATTTAAACTATTCATATTGGAATTAATTGTAGATGCAATGAAATTCGATAAATCTAAATATTTATCGTATAATTCATGTATACGCTTGCATAAATCACTCGGTATATCCCATAGCATTAAATGAGTTCGTGTAAGCTATATAAAAAGTAGAAATGAAGATAGAATAGTCATTTGACAAAGAACTAGTTTGAAAATAAATAACAGAATAACAAGTTAATTTCAGTAAATACTAAATTTGCTTTGATATTTAAAAGCATGCCAAATATGCAGTAAAATCTCAGGTCACACACGTCGAAAATCTAGTCACCTAGGTTGTTATTTTGAGTATATGTATCAGTAGTCAGTCTTAAATTCAAATTAGAACCCTGTTAACATTCATCAGCTTCATTGTAAATTAGGCCTGAAATCGTACGCCTCTTAATATCATACTAACTGAAGTTATTTTACTCCATAATGCTGTTAAATATGCCGATGAAAATATCAACAGTGACAGAACAAATGCCTGGCTAAGTTATTCAAAAAGAAGAAATGGTAAAAAAGTTTCACAAAAATGGTAACAATTTTTAATTTACACGCCTAACAACACTGGGATTCATGATCCCTAGTACCCTCTATTTATTTTAACACATTTTCTCCTCTATCATGATTTGATTACATGACTTGTATTTTCTGCACTCTGAATATGCTATTCTAATTGTCTGTATAGGAGAGAATTAACCGGTATAAACGACTGAGACGCTATCGCAATCGCTGTGACTGAGTAAAATAAACACTTTTTTTTGACAGTTTGCCAGTAACTTAAACACATTCACATAAAAATAAAATTACACTTACCTGTGCAAAACAAGACTCCCAATGAAGCTTGTTTCGTTTACCTCGCTTCGGTCCGAACTCTAGAATACCATAAAATTTGAAATCTACCGGTATAGGCTCATCAATAACAGAAGGCACCATTTCAGTAGAATTACATGAATTACCACCCGCCACACGATTTCTTGATGTAACTGATTTTGTATTAGTATTATTGTTAACGTTAGGATACTTCACATTGGTTTCGTGAGAAACAGATGATTGAGGCTGTAAACCGAATAAAATAAAACAGTTTACAAGAAAGTAAGGAAACAGGAAGATTATGGTGCAAATGAAAAAAAATTTTTTTAAACAATATCAGCCACGTCCCATACACTACATTATACACCACATTTATTTTGTAATAGCTGATCGTACTAACAGACTATGTGGTCTCAGTGAATAATAATAATAACAATAATAATAATATCATTATTCTGGACAGTATTTATATAATGAACACAATTTTCAGCAGAGTTTATTGCATGATATTTTCCCTTCGTACAGTGTCTTCAACTAAAATATCATTTGACAGTAATATCCTTTGACACAATGCTCTCTGAGCTGAAGCACAACCCATTCCTTTATGATATATCTGCTTTGTCTCCTTCAAGAAATCCACGATACCTGGTTGAAACTGAACTGTTAGATGTTCAGAAGTACATTTCGAGACCCAAGGACATAACTGAAGAACAGTTATCTCATGTATTGGAACACGTTACCGCCCACAATCAGTTCTTTCCTCAAGTTTAGTAAGAAGTTGTAAAATAAGAAGCTTGTAAACAATTTGCATACAAACAAGAGTAGATAATACCACTCGAGGTCATATCTTATTCTATTAAAACAAACCGAACAAGAGGAAATATATGCAATAGAGAGATGGAAGCCTTTGGTAGCCCAAGTTTTTAGCAGGCCACCTTTATATGAACCACTTAATGGTTGAAAGATGAATAAATAAGTTTAATAAAGCGAGTATGAATTGCCGAAACTAAACGCCGAATTACGTGATCTTGGCCGACTGACACACTTGACCAAATTGATTAGACAGACCTTTTCATACTGAATATGACTGACTGAGTTTCAATGGGAAACTATGCACAGAAGTGAAACAGTTCAAGTTGACACACTGCATATACCATACAAAGACAGACAAAGGATAGGAAAAAAATGGATTCAGAGGTACTATAATAACGAGAAATATGAGGGAGACAGAACAGTGTCATACGAAAATACTAGGTTTAACGGATATGGGAGATTATACAGAGTGAATGCATCTGCGCCAGTGGGAAGGATTTGGGTCACATCTCCAATAGCTGTCAATCCTTGGTTATTACCATCCTGTGGACCCCAACCAGGCAGTCTACATCCCCTTATGTGGCTCAAATTAATTGTCAACGATTTCATGCAATGATACCAGGTTTCGTTTTGGCCACCTCTAATCCTTTTCCAATCTAATCATATGTCGGCTAATATTGTCCACGGAGGACAGCGACCGCTTGGCATGTGCAGTATGCATTCTAGTCATTTCAATCGATTCACCTTCATAACCTCATCGACAGACTTTCCCTCCTCAACTAACAGTCGATGCCTAAACTCAATATTACACACCATCTTATACCATATAGTACGCGAGACAGAACACAGATACCTGTGATCAAAGGATGACAGCCTTTTCATATCTTCCACTGTCTATAGCCATGTCTCACAATCATCAAAGAGTACAGGGATAACTACTGTGCACACGTCCTTGAATCGACAGCCAGCCGGATATCACGTCTACTTTTTCACATGTTTTACTCAATCTTTATAAACATAACGTTATATTACACAGCACAAAACTACACTATTCTTTCTTAATGGTAATTATTTTCAGCATTATTACCACGGTCCGGTTGAATCATTTCAAGTGTCTCTACTACTATTGTCGAGACATTGGTGTTTATTGCTCGACATGTTCGAGTAAATCGCTAATGTATGTCACAACACTGATTTCAGACTTATGCAAAACACCATTAACATAGATATTTTTAAGAATTTTCAAAAAACAGAAGTATACTGCGAGTGTGTGGAGAATTTCTGATGCAAAAAGATATTAGAATTCGGTGAAAGTCAGCGGTGAAGCTGTAACAGTGAATCTCAGAGTATCTTTACAGTCGATTAGTGTAAGTAATACCTGCCGTTTGGGCACTATTCATTGTAATTGTGTAATTAGTTGATGGGAATAATCTGCTACTAAGGTAGGTTTTTGTGAACAGTACACCTTAACTGAAAAAGCGCTGAATACAAATAAGCACTGAGAAACTGTATAACTGTCAAGCTACAGAAGTTGACAACATGCTTCACAGTATTTGCATTCATTGGTTGAATGATAACGTGCTCATCACGAAAAAACATGATTGTGGCTAGAAACCCACAAGAATTCATGGGTATATGTGAACTACAGAATAAAAAGAAACAGCTTCTTAATATCCCAGCATTACCACTATTTATTGTTTTTTTATTCATTGAAGCCATTCCCTAGAATAGACCAAATACAAGAGAACTCCATTAGAAATGAAGTTAAGAATTTCCCAGTGACATAACATATTTGCAAGGGTTCAGGAAACTCGAAATTACATATGCTTCAAATTGACCTTTAGATAGGCAAACCTAATCGATTAAGTATTGTGAGATGATGTATTTTCACTGGTGTTTATGAGTGCTCAGAAACAAAATGCCAAGTTATATGGTTCACCCCCCCCCATTTGATAACATATAAATTTCTTGCAAAAATTGTGATGCAAGTATTCAAAACTAACTTTTTAAAGTTTTATCAGGATTGGTTTTCGGCTAGATAGATAGTGAATTAGAAGGCGAACGTATTGTGTAGTCTAGATTAGCAGGCGTTTCGTTTTATTAGCTTACGGAAGTCCTATAAGTTTACAAAACTAGACTATTTCATTCCGTGACAGTACTACTTAATATATATATATATATATATATATATATATGTATATATATATATGTATAAAGAGCAACATAATGAACGCATTAACTTACTGTAGACGGTATTGTAGAGGTAGGACGTGCAATACCAAATGATTTTCTCATAGTTGAATCACATTCAGTAATATGATTATTATTAGGTAGATTACTATTACCATTAATATTGTTATTATTATTCGCTAAGTTGGAATAATTATCTGAATTGAAGACTTGTTTACTGATTAACGGTTTGCAGTGATTAGGCAACTGTTGTTGGGTATGTTGATGGTTCTGATAATAGTTATTTTGACTAGTACTGTTATTATGCAGATTGTGCTGCTGTTGTGGTAACTGATGATATTGGTGATAGTGACGCAATCCCAGTGAATCATCGTCTATATCTTGTTGTGAAGGTGATGATTTAGGAATAGATACACTGTGTAATTGTTCTTTAAGCGAAGCCAATTCCGATTCAAGTGACACTGTATGCGATTCATTTAAGCGTAATTTATTCTCATACTTAATAAAAAATAAATAAGGAACAAGAAGAAACAAAAACAATAATGATGTGATTAAAGAGCTACCAGTTACTTTTATTCAACTGTTTATTATATCTGAGAAATAATCATAAGAATGTGATTAAACAATACAGTACAGATTTTAAATACTGCGATATATATATATATATATACTAGTTGTCTGAAGCGGTTATAACGCTTTCAGGTGGCTCGGAGTAATGAAATGGTGTAAATTACTTCAAATTTACTGATTAATAAATAAATGGTTGACAGGTCATTATATTGATAACACGATCAAATTTCACGACCGGTGTCTTTATATCTTTTATGTAACTGATTCACTAACTTATCAAAGTAAAAGTTTGTAAAGAAAAATAGTGCTACATTTCATAGAAAGCACACAAAAGTAGAAAAATGAAATGTCATGAAAGTATAGTGGACAGAGATAAATGGAAGAGAGAATAATCCCATGAACACCGGTGAGGATTTCAGGAATCTATCTTATAGCAAGGAGTGAACATGTCTACCCTATTTTTGACGGTTTTAAAACAACTTGTCTCCAATGTTCGATTCATGAGCATTATCTTCAGAGCCCAAACCAGGAAGTACACACCTCTCTCTGTGTGTATCAGTCAGTAACAGTCAATAGGTTCAGGGATCAGTGTCATATTTGGGTTTGACCACCCCTAATATTTCTCCGACCTTATTGTACTTCATCTAATACTGCTTGTCTCGGAAGACAATGATCCTGTACGCGTAGCACATTTCCTACCCTTCTCAGTTGATGCACCTTCACAATTTCATCGATTGATTCCGCCCCCCACCCCGCTCACCTAACCCTTCAGCTTCATTAATACTGATCATATTGTATTATTTAACATGAGAAATTGAGCGTAGACACAAATTATTAATTACGGCTAATCTATGCATACCTCTATCTTTTAACAATTATGTCTGAAGGCAGTAAAGCAGGGCAGTGTAAACTGCTGCAAAGTACACATGTATTCACGTTACTAAACTTTCAAAAAGTAACTCTGTGTAAGTATAGGTATCCTTAAATTATGTCAAAGTAAGTAATTAACTACAGAAATGAGACCAAATTTACAGATTCACTTATCTATGTTAGTTAATTTCTTCAATTTTATAGTGGAAAAACCAGTCAGAAAACACTGTCAAGTTTAAATTTCTTACAATAGTTCGTCCGTCAAATTTTTGTCCAATTTTAATTAGTAGTCAGTAAGTGGAGGATAAAAACAACTGGAAGTGTCCAAAAAAAGACACGAAAACTCTCAGTCTAGACAGTCAAATATTTTCTTTAAAAGAACACACAACTATTATGTAGTAACATTACCGGAGACAAGTCATGTGTAGTAGAGAAAGTGTTTTCGTTTAAAGAGAGAAACAAAACTGTAGTGAAATTTAAATAACCATTGGACACATGTATAGACAGTGGTTAACAGCCTATTTCAACCTATTAGCTATTAGAATTTATTCACGCACAACGGAAACTTAACTCATATCCTGCCTGCAAGATTTAAAAAGGACGACAGTTGTTGTGTGCTATAGTAAGCACTAAGCTACACTCCATGTAATTTAGATGAAAATAAAATGAAGATTTTATCACATAGTTGTACAAATGAAAACGCGTCAAAGTGAAGTGTAAACATTTTGAACAAGTTATACGTGAACAATTCACAATGTTTCAAATAACACTTCTTATTTAAAATGTCTGAGATCTTGAGTAAAAGTGTAGGTTACTTCCAAATTACTATGAAGAATGACATTGGAGGAACACGTAAACACAGGAAACAATTACCAGTGAATCATCCTCGGACACCTAACTCGTTGTTTTCTATTCAAGTTTCACTCGTGAATCTTGTTCTTTATGCCTAGTAGAGTAGATTTAAACACTGACTTCAGATTAATAATGATCTGTCTTGCCCTTCCAATCCTAGATGTGACAACTTCATTTGTTTCGACTGAAGTTGAAACGATGCTTCCTAGTGAAAGAAGTGACCTCTTTTAAATTACTTCTATTGATAGTGACTGATGTTTTTTACAGTTATTAGATTAGTATTTCCATTAACTCTGTCTTCTCTATGTTCACATGAAGTACAACCTTCGCTACTTCTTCTCGCAAACTTGTTGGTCGGCTGTTCCCTGTTGGCTTTTGAGTTTGTGTGATATCATGCATAACTAATCCACGAAGTCCAAGTCTTCTGGAGTCTTCTTGTCCGTAGAACGTGTTCCCGTTTTCATGGGTTTCCCGATCATCCAGTTCACTACAATCAGAAACATCACAGGTGATAATAGGCAGCCTTGTTTTACTCCTGTATTCACTTCAAAGGCTACGCTGAGGTTTCCGTTGTGGACCACTTGACATGTGGCATTCTCATTTAGCTGGTAATTGAGGATGATAAAGGTTAGTGACATTGTGCTCCACAATATTGAAGCAGTTTCCAAATCAATTTAAAGGGTCAACGCTGGTTCAATGTATAATGAACGCTGCAATTACCGAGCAAAAGATTATTCTGTTCAAAAAGCAAAGAAATATTCCACATGACATTACTATTATGAAAAAAAAACTGATATGATCGGTAGTTTATAAGAAAAGAAAAAATTTATTTAGTTCTTCTGAATTTTTAATGACTGTTTAAATGGATTATGTCAATTAACTATAATGTATATCCATTATTATTATTATTTTCTTTTTATGAAGGTTAATGGAATTCAGTGATCATTAAATATCCGAATTCCAACTGACAGTTTTATATCTATAATCATTATAATATTTTAAAAATTCTGTTGATTTTAATAAGTGAATATACATATCGATATATGAAATTGAGTGTTGTAAATAGTTTCATAACTATGAATTATACTTTAATAGCTTTTGACATCAACAGAATAATCTTCTATAAAACTTTGTAAAGCCACTAGAACTATTCCATTTCCTTTTTATAAATACAGAAGAAGACGCTTAAAGCGACCTCGAAACGTTTGTCAGGCAAATTGAAAAAAAACATAGACGAGCATGAACATACAGATATGTAGTGTGGAATTTGTTCGGATACAACTTTGACCACGAGTTGGATAACTACTGGAAAACCTGGGGTTGATGGACAGTTGTTTCACTCAAGTTTGGGGTTCTTCGGCAGTACGCACCCACTGAGACCCAATCTAATAGTCCATGAATACCATTTTCTGACATCTCATGATATATATATATATATATATACATGTTTACTCACAAGTGAGTAAACATTTTAATACACCCTAGAACTTAGTACATGTCATCTGAAGTGTTGAAAACTATTGGTGTCTGTCAAGGATGCCCAGTGTTTAATTTCACCATAGATGTACTATTGGACTCAACCCTAACTAACTTCAGCGACTCAAGGATTGGCTTGTTACCGTCAGGGAATAACCTCGTTGACCCAGAATATGCAGATGATATAGTGTTTCTAGGTTAAAACACTGACAGAGTGAAGAGTCTTCTGAACACCTTGAGAAATAGTCTTCAAATAAATGGCATTCATTTCGCTCCTGTCAAATGTAAGATGATGCTACACGACTGGACTGTACCGACTCCTAGGTTTAAGACAGGGAGTAAACTGGTAGGGCGTGTTGACCACTTCAATTAATCGGGAAGTTGCATCAATCCCAACGGGTTGATCGCTGACGAAATCTCAGAACGGATACAGAAGGCTAGTTTCGCATATGCCAGTTTACGCCCTCTCTGGCGTAGACGTGATACCCACCTGTTGACCAAAGGGCGTGTGTACTGCTCAGCAGTTCACTCCGTCCTTCTTTATGGCTGTAAGTGTGACATGACCATTAAAAGTGGGAGACATGAAAAGCCTGGCTATCTAATCATAGGTGCCTGCGTTCTATCTCCCGCGTGAAGTGGTATAATAAGGTGAGCAATATTGAGGTTAGGCGTCGAGTTCTAGGTAAGGAGGGGAAATCAGTCGACGAGACTGTGAAGCTACATCGACTGAGATGGTTAGGCCATGTGTTACCTATACCTAGCCATCGCCTTCCTCAATGGGCAATGTTAGCTGACATAGGATGGATCAGGTTGGAAAAGAGTTAGCCGGTGGTGACTATACCAAAACATGGATGGCATCAGTCAATGAAATCCACAACAGCTAGTTTAGGCCATGTAGGAAGGTGTAGATTTCCTCGTTGGGGTTTTCGGGACGGTTAACACCAATGGCTGGAGACGATCGGTGATATGGCTCGAAGTCGCTCTCAATGGCTTGGGCAGATACATCCACTCCTTCCGACTTATAATATCCGACAAAACTACATGGTTCTTCGATATTATTATTCTTTTTGCCTCATATCTCTGTTTACCGTCTCTATTTTGCATTTTTTTTTACTTTCTTCTCTTGTTTTTTGTGCTAAGTGTGGCGACTCGAACTGCTGCAAATCGTTGCAAAGTTCTATTTTGAAACCAGCCAGTCAGTCAGCCACTCGCAAGTGACCAATTAAGGCCCAGCCGTTCCTTTCGAATATCTTCAATCTATCTCATATATATATATATATATATATATATATATATATATATATATGGAAGAAATCAATCACAGAAAAAAAATTGTTACATACTTCGACATGTTATAAACATGTCAATTATGAAACTAACGAACAGTATTTAATTAATCAAAAAAAAAAGGGCAACTGCTAATGAATGACGTATTTTTGCACGATTGGACAAAAACAATTCAGAAAAACAGAGTAACAAAGACATCAATAATTATTTCATTTTATCTTTCACTAATTAATATACATGTGTACACATGTACGTGTACATGTGCATGTGTAAATGAAGAAATTCTTAGTTCTCCTTTTAGTGAAATTATCACTAGGATTTCTTTAAAAATTGTTAATGAAGGTTTTTGCAAACGTGTACATATGTGTGAATAAGTCTACAAGAAAGTGATTATCTTGACTAATAGTAGAACTTTTACAGTTAAACAAATGGATGCTTAAGCTAAATGGTAGTAATTGCTTTTAATTATGAAAAAAACACAACAACAGGCTTAACTTGCGAACTCAATGAGAAAAACAATAATGAAGCGTTGATATGTCAGTGATTGTATTAATATTCTTTTAGGTTCCGAGTCGAACATAGGAATTAAACAGCACACATCCACTTTATTCTGTTCTCTTCAGTCCCTTTCATCTGGTTCCACAAATGGCCATCAGCTCTCATCTTTTCTCCGCACACCGTCACATCATCCATGTCATCCTTGGACACCCAATTCGTCGTTTCCGATTCGAGCTCCACTCAAGGGCGCGCCCTGCTTGTGATGGCACTCAACGGTGTCTTCAGTGTATGCGTCCGATTTATCTCCATTTTCTTCGACATATTCGTTGAGTTATCGGTTCTTGGTTGGTCCGTCGCCTGCCTGATTTCCTATCTAGTCACTTAAACTTCAATGTGGAACGAAGACGACTGTTGATGATAGTCTGCGGTAGCCTGTTGGAAGTGCTTTCGGTGACACACCGAGTGTCTGAACCATATAGATGCAGTGACTGTCTGGAAATTAGTTCTGAGAATTCAGATCTTGTTCTTGATGCCTAGTAGAGTAGATTTTAACACCGATTTCAGATTAATGGTAATCTGTCTTGCCCTTTTCAATCCTAGATTTGATAGCTTCATTCGTTTCGACTGAAAGTGATGTCATTTAAATTTCTCCCATTAATGGTGATTGGTGCCTGCTGCTGATGATTAGGTATTTTCATCATCCCCGTTATCTTTTTGCTCAAAGTACCAACCTCACGCTGTGAAATGTATGTCATTTATACAGAAAGAACTATAATATGAATTCAAATTTAGTCAATGCAGTAATTATGTGCTTCTTATAAGTGTTGCATAAATACAACCCAACTTTTCATCAATAATTCAGTCATTTGATGCCAACACTGCCTGACCCATGTTTGTATCTCTAAAGGAATATAATTTTATTCTAATGTTGTGAAAACACCTTCATGATGTGTACCGAAAAGCCTAACAACTTAATCATACAATTTGTAGAACTTTATATTGTACTGTAATTAACTAATATAATCTTTCGAAAAAATATTTTGGAAACCTAGTAGATAAGTCAGAGAAATTGATTGCTTGTCTGTGTCTGTGTATCCAGATTCCGGCAGTGAAGATGAAATTTCAACATGTGAGTTGATATGATTAATAAATTGTGCTCGAAACGTCATCAGTAAATATTAATGTATAACACTGTGAGACTCTATCAAAATAAAAATTTACCCATAATGGAATTACATTCTACCACAGTGCCCAAGTTTTATTCTTATATCAATGTGAGTTGATTTAGTTGAAAATCAAGTCCTTTAGATCCACATTCACAATCGTATTACCAATAAGATAGTTTGTTTTAAGATGAGGCGATCTAAAGAACTGATTTAAACAGAATTATGAATTATAACACAAACTTTAAACCAACCCCTATGCCCATCAAAAAAGCTTCAAAGTCAAGATGAACTATGAAAGAAATAAGTTAATTTTGACCAAGGGAGGATAATTTAACGAAAAGAATATACAAAAATTTCGAATGTTTCCACAAATTCATTCCCGAGCAGTATTCATGATCTATTATTGGCGGTGCTCACTGCCTTCTGGTTTCTTCAGCTGTTATTATCAGTGAGTTATAAAAAAAAATACTGTGTAAAATAAAGCATGAAAAAAACAGTAATAAAAAATTAACTGTCTTCACATACTTCTTTTCTCAATGTGGCTAATTCATCGTTCAATCGATTAATCTCAGATAATAATCGTTTATTCTCTTTCGAACGTTGGTTCAACTGTAAATTCAATCGTTTCTGTTGTCCTAATCCTTTTAAACTGGCTACTTTACTGCGAGCTGAATTAGAGCCGAGGAAAAATGGACTAACAGTACGACCACTGCCATCTTGCTCCTGTTGTTGCTGCTGAAAGCTTGCAAGCCACATCAATTCCAGAGTGTCCGGATTCTTGCCAGATAAAACCTTATGAATAGACAACAAGGAAATGAAATAATGAGAAAAACAAAAACAAAAAAAAATGTAATGAATCACATTTTCACAAACACAATCAAACACGCAAACAGACAGACAGTTAAACCATTACACCAGTGTTAAAACTGTGTAATTCTATAACATCAGCTACAGGAAGAAAAACACCGATAAAAGTACAACAGAATTGAAACATAGCAAAAAGGCAGCAAGAATACAAGAGAGACAGCAATAGCACAAAAAACGCCATAAATACACATCAATACAAGCTGTAAACCTTTTTGATCGATTTTGCGGCCTGCAAACAGACAGAGAACAGGATTAAATGGAAATATCTGCAAAATGTGATAAAAAAAGAAAACCAGTAGTCACTGTAAGGTCATGATATAATTAAAGCAGTCGATATAGAAATTCGTGGTACTTAATTTTCACACATTTTATGGATTAACACACACAGAAAACACGTTTCTAAGCCTTCAGTTTATGGACTCATTCACTTGTCTGAATAAAACATTTAATGCTTAATAAAATATCAGTTTAACTGTGCGTATGTGTTACATACGACCAATCGAACAATGGTATGAACTGAGAGAAGTGTGCAGTAATATTCATCATGGAGTAAATATATATGATAAAGTCTCACAGTGTTATTTACTGATGACGTTTCCAATAAACAAATTTACTCTATGATGGAATCACGTTCTACCACAGTGTCCAAGTTCTATTCTTATTTGCAGTAATTTTTATTGTCCATTTGCTTCCATCTCTAAGCCATTGTATATACGCAGACGGAGAAATACTAAAAAGTGGAAGAATTTGAGTTTTCTTGAAAAGATATTGAAGAGCAATGGGTACCCTCAAAGGTTCATCAACAAGTATGGAAGATCTGAAGTCACAAATGTAAAACAAATCACAGTGGGAAAAAAGCCAATCCACTTTCAGCTTGATTATGAAGGTGAGATCATTGCAGCGATGATCAACAAAAGGCTGAGTACATCACTAGCCATAGCCTATCCTGCAGCTAAGTTCGTTCCTGTCTATCGAACAACTTGCTCTTTGGCGTAATCAAAATTCGATAGATATCCTTCTCATGTTAACTCCAACTGTATATACAAATTTACATATATTTGCGGGAGCAGTTACATTGCAAGGACAGAAAGAAGGGCATATCTACGATTTTCTGAACATGTACCAAAAAGCTTACGTCTGAAGGGAACAAATGCTTTGAACAGTGTCATTGCCAGGCATTTCCTCGACACGGGTCATGAGGTTTACGTCGAAAGTCGTTCAAAATTATCAATAGGCAAAAGAGCTCAATTCTCCTTAAGTTTGCTGAAGCCATTTCCATCAAGCGCCTGAAACCTGATTTATGCGTCCAGAAAGAAGCGGTTATTAGTCTTTCTTTGCCCTGGTAACTGGATATTTTTCATCTCTCTTTCATCCGAATGCGAAATGCTGATATGTTTCCATTGTGTATGATTATTATTGCTCGGAATAATGTTTAATATTACATATATATATATATATATATATATATATTAATGAATGCATATATTGATCGATTGGCTTTTGTTTAAAATGAACTCTGTGCAAGTATGTTAAAATTGTCTATGCCCTGTAGGCAGCTGACGAGAAGGCAACGGAATAAAAGATGGTACCACTTTATTCTGCTAAAACTGTAGTTATTGCTTTCTTCAAACTAAAAAGTATACCTTACTTATAATTTACCCAAATATTTGCAATGAAGTTGTACAGTAATCAACTGCCTAGGTATTTTAGCAATCCTTTTTGATTACTCCGCTTAAAAGACAAAAAGAGTTCAACTAATCAAGCACGGAAATAAAGACTAAAGATAATGTACATTCACAATTTTAAGTCATCCAGAAGCAACATACGATATCTCACGGTAGACAACAGGTTACTGAGATATTCAGCTTAATTTGAATAACTAAATGACCGAATTTTAACATAAAACTTCGCACAGAAGTGCACATGTTACAATGGCCATACTCTATGAAGCACAGAAAGGTAGGTAAAAGAAACAAAACAGGGGATTCAGAAATGCTGTAAATAACCAGAAATACGAGGTAGTCAGAATAATAGCATGGAAAAACAGTAGGATTTAATGGATATGGGAGATCAAAAAGAGTGGATGCATCTGCATCACTGAGAACGATTTCAAGTCATATCACCAATAGTCGCCAGCCATTCGTTTACAGAATCCTGAAAACATCAATCAAGCTGCCGAATAATCCCCTCGTAGCTACAATTAGCTGTCGAATGCTTCATAGACTGATGTCAGGTTTTGGTTTGACCACGCTTAACTCTTTTCAACCTGATCCTATGTTGGCTAATACTTTCTGTGGAGAAATGCTCAGAATGCGCAACACGTGTTCTAATTACCTCAATCAACTCACCTACACAACCTCAACGATTGACTTCTTCCCCTTACCTAACACTCTACGCCTAACCTCAAAATGACTCACTGTATCATGCCACTCAACACGGAAAAATAGAACTTAATTTACTTATAATCACATGTAAATGCACAACTAAGTAGCATTCCAGACATCGATAGTCATTATTTGTCAAATTTGCGCCAACACATTCGATAGAAAAACATCCATCAGTAGAGTAAACCTTGGAATATTACAGTGATGACATAAACAATATTTCTGAGATAAAAAAGAAAATCTTAAAATACTACGCAAAGACAGAAGAAACACTTTCTGTAGAATAAAAAGACGCACCAATTAAAAAGTAAGGAATTCATTTTGCTCACTTTCCGAATGGAAACCTGATAGTTTTATACAATGATGTTTTAAGAACAATACTTTCAAGTTATATATGTTTCGTCTCAAGTGACGTTTTATCAGGAACCAGATTTCAGTCAGGTAGCCTGCTTAAAATGTGGGCTACCGAAAATGTCTATCATTAAATTGCATATAATTTCTTTTATTCACTTCGTTTTAATCTATTAAAATATGACTTTTAATGGTACCATTTACTCTCGCGAGTACTAAAAATTGTTTACAACCTGCTGCTACTAATCTACTAATCTTGAGAAAAGGCATCACTGCGGATGGTGACGTATACCAATACATGAGACAACTGTTCCTGTTTCATGTCCCTAGGTATCAAAATGTACACCTGAACTTTTTTCTAATTAGCTTTCAACCAAATGCCATGCATATCCCGGAGACAGAGAAGAAATATCGTAATGGATTGATCTGCGCTTAAGATGAGACAGCAGTGTCATGCCATCTATTGTCAATGATATTTTATTTGAGGATCCTGGATGGAGAGGATATATCATGAAACAATCCCGGTAGAAAATCCTGCATATTATATAAATACTATTCCAGAATGAAGTCATTATTATTAGAAATCACCGGAAACCAAGAACTACCGGACACCTGTTCTGGCCTAGTTTGGTATTCTTCGGCAATACGTACACATGACTACGCTGGAGATTGAAATCAGGACTTTCAAGTCACGAGGCAAGACCACTGGTACAAAAACCAGTGGCCAATGAATTCTAAGCTCTAGCAATTCGCGATAGGTGATATTTACGTATATACCGGTTGGTGATGAAATCAAACCTGGAATCAACCAAATCCCTATGAACCAACCACTTGAAAATATTATTCAGGTTTTCTACAAAGATACAAACATAAAACGATCTTCAGGTGTATCAGTAATTATTTTTTTAAGCCAACATCATTTACTATTGCCTTCTTAACAGACAGAAATGATCAATCGACATTAGCACATCGGTTGCTAGAATAAATGCAAAGATATTCATTTGAATTTGTTTGAGTTTTTACATGTAGACAACGCCTCGGGGGATGAAATAATATGTGAAATCAAGTCTCAGTAGGAATAAGACTTTCTGGGACTAGAGTTTATCCAGTTAATGAGTTGTGTATCCTTTGTTTCACAACGAACTAAGATCTCTCAGATATTACGACAAAAGTGATTCGCAGAAAGCAAAGAATTGTATTCAGACAAACTACGACTATGTTCTGATCCAAAAATACCAAAGGGGTTCTCTTTTGAGGAAACAATCCCAACAAGATATTACATGACCACTTATGAGTAAAATACATTTGGAAGATAGATAAATAACACGATGAAATTTATGTAAAATGTATAAACGATTGAATCTTAAAAAAAGACTATTCTAGTTAGCAAACAGTAACTAATATGAACTTTATTGAACCAACTAATTCACACTTCTAATGTACTAATTTACATGAATTATATTCCCTTGGACTCCTATGTGCGTTCTTTCGATGAAAGCAACAATAAGCATGGGGACATGGAATGTCCGCACGATATTCGGAACGATGAAGGCTGTTCAGGTTCCTAAAATAAATGAGCAAATATGGAATAAAAGTGCTAGGAATCTGTGAGAACAAATGGAATAGAAGTGGACTCTCCAAATTGTTGACTAGTGAGTCAATAATTGCTCCGTTGACCGAGACCACAACCACAATGACCAATAGCATCGAAGGCTCTTGTGCAGTGGGAAGCAGTCTCCTCAAGAATAATGACAGGAAGATTCAACTCAAAAAGTGGGAAAGTTCCAATTATCCAATGATACGCTCCTTCGGACAATGCAATTACATGAGCACTGCAAAAGTAGAGTTTGTGATTATTGCTTTGGTTAAAAAAGAGACACAGATTTTCAGACCAGCAGATTTTAAGAAAGATCAAATTGAGATAAATAGGGTCGCTTAGTGACTGACGTTGGAATAAGTACTGCAAAAAATCGGATATTGCGTAAATTTTAAAAAATTAACACCATAAACGACTAAATTGTTTAGTATCATTGACAAAGTAGTTGTAAAGTGAATAGTACCAAAATAATGCAAATACTAACATCAATAATAAATATAATATGGTCATCATATTAGTAATAATAATAATATTAATGCTAACCTCAGTTAACTTATTAACTGTAGCACTGAATTTGGCCTGTTCCTTTTTATAAGCCTGAGTCATACGTTCAAGTTCAATACGTAACTGAGCCGCTTCACTACTGGCTAGTGCTGCTCGCTGACTTGCCGCATGGGCACTTTCTTTCGCACTCTGCAAAAAAAAACATTATAAGCACATTATAATAGCTCAATTACAGAGGATAATTTGAGTGTATGTGATAAATGAAATTAACATCTTTTTAGTACTTCTTATAAACAGTTACTACATAACATATTATGAAGACAAACTAACTCAGTTCGTTTCTCATAAGATTTTCAAAAGCCACTTTAATTCTTAAAAACAATTATATCATGTGCCAACTTCAAATTAAGGAAAGATTTTCAAAAACGGCGACAACGGTTTACAAACGCTAAGTACAACGTAGCAAAGTACTGTGCAGTATAAACACCGAGAAAAGTGTATATTGGTTGAAGGTATTAGAAATAACTTTGGTATCAATGTTGTTTAGAAAGACAATGAAAACTTTGCAACTTAACCATAGAATTTTTAAGTATTGGTTTTTGTAGGGATTTCGATTGATTGGTTGGAGGATTTCATCATGGGCTGACATCAGTGAGAGAACCACTGGAAAACCACCAAGGAGTACTGGACAGCTGTTTCGTCAGCCGAGTTTGGGACTCTTCGGCAGTATGCACCCACCACAGGAGGTCCGAACCCAGGCCCTTCTGGATACAAGGCTAGCGAGCTCGTAGACCAATAAGCTACTGGAACCCAATCCAATGACCAGCCCATGAATTCCAACTTCCGCTAATTTACGACATAGCGAGACCAACTCTGTCATGTTATGCTAGCATATTGCTGAAATGTCATAGACTGAGAGTAAACAGACTTTCAGTGTAACTCCATCATAGATAAGATTTTATTTAGATAAATCACACAGTGTTGTACAATAATATTAACTGATAATGTTTCGAGCACGAACCATAATCATATCAAGTGAGTGACATAATATGATTATGAGCAACAATTTGTGCTCGAAATGTCATCAGTTAATATCACTGTGTAACACTGTGTGATTTATCTAAACAAAATCTTATCCATGTTTGAGTTATACTCTACTCTGCCAATTCATGACATAGCTGTCCAGTACTCCCTGGCTAGTTTTCCAATGTTTCTCTAACTGATGTCAGTTAATGATGAAATCCTCCAACCAAATAAACTATCGAAATTATAAGAACAAGACTACACTCATATAAACACCCCTCGACTACGCCAAAGATGACATCACTTGACAAATGTCGAAGAAGTTTTCTGCATCAGTACTGATATTTCGTCAGCTCACTCCTCAATTAAGTGGGCTATTTCACTACATATTCTTAAAACAGGAGTTGGTGAAAACTAGTCATAAGGCAACATATTTGCTTAATTTACAAAAAGATAAATTTAAACCCCTATTTACTAGTTCACATCTGATTATTTGCTCAACGGACTTAGATAAGAGCATATATTTACTGACAGCTACTCAGAACATAACTGCCAAGTACATAGTATCGATTGCGGTATGAGCAGTTTCATTCTGATATATTCTTGAATCAATATATCATTAAAGAAACAAACCAAAAATCAAAGAAATCTATACAGCTTGCCCATTAGACAAAAATATTAAAAAAAGAAAACCAAAAACAAAACAAACTAATGACTTACTTGTGCAGCTTCTACATAACGACCAACTTTTTGTTGAATTTCATTAACAGCTCTTAGAGCAGCTTCATATTTCTCATTAGTCCTTTGAATCATTTTACAATTTTGTGCATACAACTCCTGTAATACGCTTAATTCACGAGTCTTTAATAAATAAGAAAAATATATTTTTATATGGTGAAATGAATGATCAAGTTGAATATAATGAATATAATTGAATAATGTATTTAAATGGAATGAACCGATCACATAATGACCTCCTTTATTAAATAAAGGATTTCTTCTATTGTTAATTTATTGAAGGTGAGGAACACTAAATAACAAGGGAGTTGCATAGATGTGATAAAAGTGTTATTACCCACTAATGCATACACTTTACCGTGATATTTATGTGATGCGAAACCTTAAAATAAATTATATTTAGGTTAAACACAAATAAATTAGGTATAGGAAGGTGAATAGCTGGAACAAGACTATGAAACTTCACAGGCCAAGACACCAACCACCCAGACATACAATGCTAACAAAAGTATCATACAGCTGAAAGAATTCTAACGATTTCCAAGGAAAGATATAACACTACTTCAGAAAACCTACAACTGAGGAAATATAGATTCCTTGGCTTAGATCTGTTAAATGTCAAATACAAGCCAGTTGGGAGGCCTCTGGGTGTAATCCCACTTCAAACTGTATCACAATAAGGAGAATCCTTTCATTAATCTCTGCGATATCCTTCTGTTTCCTTTCAGATCAATCTTCTGCTTAGTACTACATGATTCTGATTTATAACAATATCCAAGTAATTGTGTGCTTTATTAAAATTGTAAAACAAACGTGTAAAAATCTCTGCACTAACAAACATAACAGAAATATCAGCCGAGATAAAAACAATTCTTACGAGTTTGTGCTATATTGTACATATATACATATATATAAATATATATGTTGATGGGTGTAGGGGGTGTAAAATACGGTTAGAAGTATTCTAATGAATCTCCCACACACGCATATAAATAAAACTAACGCATGAAAACCAAAGAGTTTTATCATTCATTATATGCGTATAATAAATAGTAAACAGTAATTTACCTTTTCATTTAATTGATCCGTTTTTTCGGCACATGTTTCTTTATATATATGCTTGAAATGTTTTTCAGCCTCCAGTTGATCAGCTGCTTCTTGAGCTGTATTTTCAGCACGATGTGCACGTCTAGCCATCTCTTCCATTCGATTAATTAATAGTTCAGTTGCTGTATTTGGATTATCTAATGAAAGTGAATTCAAGTTGTCCGGTGCATCAACATCACTATGATCCGATGGAATATTTGAATCAAACGGTGAATTAGAATCATTTCCTAAAACTGTTACTCCTGGCGAGACTACACGCGATAAACTGTTTCGTGTACCTGGACGACCTAACCGATCAGCTACTTCTGCTGCTCGACGGGCTAACTGAACAGTAGCTGTTGCTACAGCCATACTACCAGCTGTTTCAGCTGACTGTCTAGCTGCTTCTTCTGATTGTGCTAGCGACTAGTAAAATGAATAGAATAAAAAATAAAAATAATAATAAGGAGAGGTTCAGGCTGCAGCAGAAAGATATACCTTGAAGATTACACAAATTCTTATTAAAATCATCCACTAACTTAATTTATTACCATCTCTAATGTCACATTTTGAACAGTTATATTAGAGAAGAACGAGAAACCAGTCAAGACACAAAAAGTGTGACTTATCGATGACCAGAAAGTAAGGTTTTTAAATCTAACATACATACTTAGATCAAATATGATTAATCCAGTATTCATACATATAAAAATCAAAGAAATGTGTCTAAAGTACTACACAAAACTATTAAGAAGAGCATATTCCTTCTAGTTAAGGTTCATAAGGCAATCACAAATGGTAGCTGAAAATTTGAGACTGTGAATATTAAAAAAAACATGTTACAACAATATAGAACTAATTCAAGTATTTTTCCTCATCATAATTAACTGAACATTTCCTTTTCCTATTTCATTTACTTGTGGATATGTGTCTCCGTATCATCACCACTTGACATCCAGTCGGTGTGAGTTTAGGGATACAATCCCACTCTACTGATTATATAGTCTGAGCAACTGGATAATGAGCAGTTTACAGCCTGGTAAATGGAAAATTGTAATCAGAGTAACCGAATTTCTAAGTTTTACTTGCCATTACAGGAATATATTTTTTTACCAAAATTTCTCTCTTCTTTATTTTCTTATGAGCACACCATCAACACAACAACAACAACTACTACCAGAGCATAAGACTTTTAGCTAGAGGTAATTTTACCAGCTGCTAAAGTTTCAGCCGACATAAGTCTGTCTGTTGGTAGTATGCTTTTTTAAAATTTATGGTATAAACACATCATAATCGATTTGATTGTTCTGCTTTCTACAAAATTCATGAAAACACAACAGGACAAATACATTCAAGATGCTTGTGTATAGCTACATGAAATAGTACCAAGGATTACATCACAGATAGAGTAATTTGCTAACCTATGATACCAAGCTGTACGAAAGCAATCAAAGTGTCTAAGAATGTAAAATTCGAAGCAATGTTATTTTCAGTGACTACAATATTAATAGATAGCTACATTGACAGTAAACCTCGCCTAGTTAACTAGCCGGTCCCAAGCCTAGGTAAAGAGGGAGGGTTGGACGTGGAGCTAGCAACCCTACACAAAAGCTATTAAAGTGCTAAAGAAACTTCAACGCACAATGCTGGCCATCACTCCAGTGGAATTCCAAAGGGTAGCGACGAGTGGGTCGTCCTAGGGTGACATGGTGGAGATCGTGCGAAGAAGAGATGGAAGATTATGGCCAATTGTGAACCTAGCTGAAAAGGACGGCAGAAGACAGGACAAAATGGTGAAACCCTACGTTCCGCTCGGAACTCAAGGGAATAATAATATTATAATAATACACTAACAGTCGCTTCTTTCTTCTTCTTTTTCCTTCACGTTCCCCAGTGGAACATAGGGCTTCAAGCTAGTGGCTTGAAGTTTCTGTAGCAGTGTTTATTTTACAGGATGGGGTTGCTAGCCTCATGCCCAACCTTCCCTCTTTACCACTCTTATTACTGGATTGCCGAGGTAAAGGAGTGCGTCGGCCGGGGATCGAACCCCGGACCATGTGCATGGTCGGCCAGCGTCCTAACCGCTATACCACCGACGCACTCTAACAGTCACAGAAGTAGAATATTTGTAAAGCTTTTAAAATGAATGAGACCAGGTGTGCTTCATAGGTTATTTGAAGACGCCCCCCAACTGACCACGAATCACAGCTTTATCACATATTAACATGTTGCGCATAGTTAGCAGTCATATTCGAGTTATACTATTTGAGTAGGGATTAATGCTACCATCTTTCAAGAAAACACCATCAGAAAAAAGCCTCACTCTTCTATCTACAATATATGAAAGGCACTTGAGTATTATATATATATATATATATATATATATATATATATGCATCTTTCTCATGTTGGATTATTCTGTTTAAAAATGTCTCACAATTCTTAAATAGAAAAGATTGTGCACTTGTGCTGAACACTTATAGTTCTATTGTAATAAAAGTGGCGTCATGATCATAGATAGCTTAGAAAGTCTATTGTAAATTGAGGAGAAATAGTGAAGTATTAATTAACAAGGGGAAAAAAAAGGAATACAAAACTTCATTATTTTATAAGTATATCAACGTTCATCGATAGAGAATCCTTTGGTTTTAAGATATAGTAATTTAAATAATATCACTATTATGAGCATATATATACATATATATATACTAAAGAATATAATAAGTGTGCTGATGAACATGTTAAAATCGATGTTTAAGGCTATATCATTTAGTACACACTACAACATGAATGCATTTAAAGCATATGAATAGGTCATGTCAGCAGAAATAAATTTACATAATACTAATATATTGATAACTTGATTAAGAGAATTTTACTGAACTCTTATTGTCATTGAAGACCGATATCTGTACACAAACTAACACACAAAATACATTTACACGTATATATGTATACATGCATATGTGTTAGGTCAGTTGACAATCACAATAGTAATATAAGTAATATGGGAAATATTGCTATAAAATAATGTATTGTTAAGATTCCCTTTCATCTGTCCAATATATATACATGTATATATGTAACAATTGTAACTAGTATGTCTATAACTGTGTCAATTTATAACAGTTCTGATAAAATGAAATCTAGAAGCCCATTACATCATGATGACAACAGTATTAATAACAATAATAAGTATTATTACTACCAAAATCAGAATAATCTTTCATCAACATGTCTCTAATGTGCACATCTACAATTGTAACCTACCAAAACATCAATGAAATGTTTTCAATGATTGAAATTATGCTCTTCAATTTCGAAAGAACAAAAGAAATTACTGCGAAAACTCGTAGCAGACTGAAACTAAGTGCACTGCATAAGTATGCATTAACCGTAGAATCTTTGTTATATCGGGACTGGCAAGTATAATAACTCAATAAATTTATTACTGTTTTTAAATGGGAAACAAAAGAATTCACAATATATTTTTCTCACAGTAGTTTTTCCTTTTATAGATTCGAAAATCAACTAAATACTTAACCACTGAAAGCTATCGAGACACTGAAAGTCTTATTGATATGAGTATAAAACTTGGGCGCAATGGTAGAGTATAACTCAAACATGGATAAGATTTTGTTTAGATAAATCACACAGTGTTACACAGTGATATTAACTGATGACATTTCGAGCACAAATTGTTGCTCATAATCATATTATGTCACTCACTTGATATGATTATGGTTCGTGCTCGAAACATTATCAGTTAATATTATTGTACAACACTGTGTGATTTATCTAAATAAAATCTTATCTATGATGGAGTTACACTGAAAGTCTGTTTACTCTCAGTCTATGACATTTCAGCAATATGCTAGCATAACATGACAGAGTTGGTCTCGCTATGTCGTAAATTAGCGGAAGTTGGAATTCATGGGCTGGTCATTGGATTGGGTTCCAGTGGCTTATTGGTCTACGAGCTCGCTAGCCTTGTATCCAGAAGGGCCTGGGTTCGGACCTCCTGTGGTGGGTGCATACTGCCGAAGAGTCCCGAACTCAGCTGACGAAACAGCTGTCCAGTACTCCCTGGTGGTTTTTGCAGTGGTCCTCTAACTGATGTCAGCTCATGATGAAATCCTCCAACCAATCAAACAAAATCCCCACAAAACCAACACTTGTCAGAATTGTGTCTAAAATTATTCTCGTTACTCATGAACAAAATTTCATAGCCAGGTAGTTATTTTCGCATATATTGGTATATGTGTACCAAGTGTTCAATATACCCTGAATGATTTTAGTAAGTTAGGGAGAGTTTTTCTAAATCCAAAGATTTCTTTGAAACTATCCAATTAAATTAATAACACCAATCGATAACACATAACAACTAGTCAATCAATATTACTAAACAACCACTTGCATTTCCATGCTATAACACCACACCTTTTGTGTGACTGCTTGTCATACTGCCTGTCCGCCCAAATCAGGGATTCATTTCAAGTCTATGACTTAGCGGTCAGTAGTTCAGCATCTGGTTCGATTAGCCATAGCTTTAGATATCAAGAAATACAGTGAAATTAGATATATTTTGTCAATTCATTCAATGAAAATTGAAATGATATTTAAAAATTTCTCGAGGAAAATTGAACATAGGTAAAATTCAGAAATTCGTTCGACCTAACAAAATATAAAATAAACTACAACGTTTGGATTTTTATTGTGTTTCGGATTGGTTAGTCCAAAAATATATTGACCAGAAAAACTTTGTGTTTGCAAGTTAGATAAGTGAATATACCCGCGAATAACATAGGCCACAGTTTAAAACATTGTCTTAAAAGTTAATATTATAGGGATACTGTTAATGATATTTTTTTCCATAAATCGAACGCCAGTTACACACCTTAATGAAGTCAACAGCTGTTATATATATATATATTTTTTTTCTTGCCAGTTTTTATTCAGAATGAATAACTATGTGCAGACAAAACCACGAAATCAATATATCTAAGTAAAGATGAAAATTTTTCGAATGGTAGACTTTTAAATGTCCACGAAAATGACGAGGATTACTTCAGGCCATACACAGACAACAAAAACGTTCAAAGTTACATGATTTTGATTAGCGAGAAACAGTATGATAACACTGAAATATCACGCATTTTATTAAGATTTATATATTTAAGCAAAAGACATATATTTCAGACTCTTCCACGCTATATTATCAAGAAAATATTCATTGAAACATATTATCCACAGGGATTTTTTGTAGTAAAGGAGTGTTTTTTTCATTGTTCTGCAGTAAACAATTTTTTTAACTTCAGTTAGTAGAAATGTCAATTACCTCTTCTTTTCATTGTTGACATTTACTGTTTCTCTACTCACTGCCTATTTTATTGCACCATTTATGCATATGTGCCTCATTGGCTTAC